GAAAGAGAGATAGGAAAATCAAACTAACCCCCGAAGCAGCCCCCTTTCCAAACAACCCAAATCAACAAGGAAGCCATAGAAAACAAAAGCAAATACAGTCTCTCTTTTCAATCCCCCTTCTAAGCACTGCAGCCAGTCCTCCTCTTCAGGTGGAAGGCTACAATATACAGTGTCAGAAAGCAGGTCTGTGAGTGTCCACCTCCTGGTTCAGAGAGACAAAGTGCTTCCCTACAACCAGCCACATTTCCTACCATGAAAAGGGAAGACTACAGGATGCCCTGACCTTTCAGCTTTGTGGCTGGCAAGGTGGGTTCTCATTTGGTATATGGAGCAGGATTCAAGTCTCTGTAAAAGAGATAGATATATAAGACTTTCTTCAAGATAAGTTATTTTGGCACATTTCCTTCTTCTCTACATCATCTTCTGATGTCCCCTGGAACTTCTGTAAGTAAGCAAACTGACTTATCTAAAGCATCCTGTCAGACATTAAAGGTTACCGTCACATATTAATCATACCCCAGGCACAGATGGGAAGACAATTGCTATAGTTACCTCACTACTAAAAATATTTAAAACTGAAAACAACGCCACAAAAATAAACTGAGGCAATACATAAGTAAAGGTCCTAGAGATTTTCCCTGACCTACTGGAAAAGCTGCAGGATCCTCCTGAAGAGGAGTATGAGCCAGAACAAAGAACCTCACAAACACTTTTGAAGCAACAAGTTCTTTTTCATAAACTGCCTGAAGCAGTTAAAATAATGATCTTGCGTAATGAGAATGGAACAATTACAAACTTCTAGTCCCAAAGGGAGCCTATTGTCTCTTTAAAGTGTTCTGGAATTTCTATGAGATTTAGAAACAAACTGGACAGGTTTCCCACTTGCTGAAAGTGCGACTGGGTCTTCAATGTACTAAAAGCAATAGCACAAAAACTACCTCTTCCCATAGAAACTTCAGTATCGTTTCTCTGTTTTATTAACCAAGAACTTTGTGGGAGTGAATTGTTCAACTGAGGCTGTTAAATTTTTCAAAGGATTAACAGACATTATTAGAGAGGTTTAAAGAGCAACACAGACCCCTCTGAAATCTTTATGTCTAGTTAGGAGAAAGGAAAACATTCCATGCATCTCTGGAGTGATATTTTACATGTAAGGCCTGTCAAGCAATGGGCAAAGATTCTCCTTTCCAATTCTAGCTATACATGCTCTTCCCTTAAAAGGAATAGGCTGCATGAGGCACTCTCCACCATGGCACAACAACGAGCATCCTGAAGGCTAGCCAGCCCTGTCTCCCTCTGACGTACATCTCCCCTGGATCATACACAGACCTTTATCCGATATTGGCCAACTTGGCTGTTCTTCCTGTATCTTTCCCTTGGAAACTCTGTTTTATTTAGCTATTTAGCATTTGATGAATCTGGTTTCTCCTTGTTCTCCTGGCAGCCAAGCAGGACCCATCCTTCCTTTAGCTTCTTTCAGAGAATATCCACAAGCAGCCACAGCAGAGGACCAGTCAAAAGCTGCTCACTGAGCATCTGTGATAAAAGAGAAGAAGCCAGCTGCTCCTTACATACACAGCCCAGCACAGAAGCTGTGCACTAGTGAAGACACCTACATGAGAGCTGGTAGAGCATTAACAGTGCTTAGGGAAGAGAAGGAAGAAATAAAAGAGGTGAGTTAGATTAGAAAGAAGAAAAGAGAAAGAAATAAAGACATTTAGCAAGGACACTTTATCTCAATAAGGAGGAGTTCATTTTCTGTAGATACACGCATATATATCTAGAAAACAGCCAAAAGCAAGGATTGTGTGGCCTCTTGTTTTAACAGTCCTAAATTCCACATAAGAAGATTTAATATTGAAGAACGATAGTCAGCCATAATGCTCTAGGTTGTACTGTGCCAAAGCATAATACGATTATAAATTCCATTCATTTACAGAAGTATTCCAAGAGGACCATTTACTGAAAGTAGGATTACTGTTAGCTAAAAATACTTTGTACAGGGAACTCATGAATTTATTCCTTTGATTACAGCCTTCTTTTACATGAGAACCTGAAAAAAGGTCTAAGGGCATACAAGTAGGGATAAGGTGTTTGGGGCTGCTCACCAGACCTCAATAGACAACAGAATATTAATGTAGCATAAATAAGGCATAACAGGAAAAGAGAAGAGGTACTCTGGTTTGGAAGGCTGAGATTTGCTAATGCTCTCAGGTTGTGAAAGCTGTTTTATGAAAAAGGACTGCATAATTTCAAATGTAAACGAACTCCCCTGACAGTATCTCAATAGTTTGCACAAGCTTAAGTACTTTCCAAAGTAGAGAGATTTTATTAAAAGATAGTTCAAGGAACTGGTAACACAAAATGCTGACTTCTTATTTCACTGCATGGCAAGGTATTCCACCAAACTCATTCTACCATTACTTTGCGCATGTAATGCAGCACTCCCTTACTAATGATCCAAACTATCGCATGCAGCAGCCACCACCAAGTGAGCTTCAGCAGCTGTATATTTTCCTCAGGGCTGATACAATAACACTTCTCACTGCTTTTGATCCCTCTGCAACAAAGGCGAAGAATTTCACAGACAAAGCATCACACACACACAGAGCATTTGCAGGAGTATTCCAAGACGGTCATTTACTGCAAGGACGATAATGATTACCTACAAATACAGTGTTCAGAGCATTGATTTATTTATTCATTTCAGTATTGCATTCATTATTTATTCATTCCTTTCAGCGTTCTTTTACAAGGTGTATAAGTTCAGGAATGAGATGTTTGGGACAGCACTTGCTCCTTGATCTCTGACAACCAGTCAGGGGGGTTGGGAGGAGTTCTGGGGTAGAGTTTGTTGTCAGAACATTTTTATTTCACCCAAAGCTCCTGCCAACCATTTGCATCAGCATTTTGATGAGAAAATGGATGCAGTTCCACTGCAATCCCTCCCATAGCGAAGTCTGATCTCGAATCAAACTATAGGGCCTGGCTCATTTCAAAAATTGAGATGCATCAGACTGCTTTAGTTACTTGGTGACAGGAAAGTAAGAAAAGTTCCAACTTACCACCCCACCTCCTGCAGAGTGGACCAGCACAGACATGCCTTCTCTTAGGTTAGCAACTTCAAAGAGCATCATGTAGGCAGTTACAAAGTTCATGGGAAACGCAGCAGCTTCAGAAAAACTCATGTCATCTGGGATCTTGTAGACAAATTCGACAGGGGTACATACCACTTCAGCCCATGCGTTGTAGTTTACAAAAGCCATGACTCGGTCTCCAATCTACAAACAAGGAAGAAAATGTTGAGGATATGGCTGCAAGTGAGACTGTAGAGAGCAATTTTTAAGATCTGCAATTCTCCTGCTCAAGCTGTGGGTCACTGACTGAAGTTAATGGTGCTCCCCATCTCTGGCAAAACAGAAGTTAAGCTCAGCTTTGGGCTTTTACCATGTTTTTACTGTATTTATTTAAAAAGCGGAATTTAACAAAAATATCCTAATAAAGTTAAAGCCACCTTTTCTTCTGCTACACTGCTTCTCTGAGGGAGCAGTCTTTCATCACCACCAAGAGATTATCTTTTTCTAGCAGAGCTCCTAAATAATACACGGGGCTGTAAACAATGAAACCAACATTCTTACTAATAACCAGGAAATTTGCTTACAGAAAAAAAGACCCCCAAAACCAGGAAGAAAAGGTTATAAATGATATTTATAAGATGCATGGAATGAACAAAATTACACCAAAGATAATTTTCACTTTGATTTCTCAGTCTTCACACTAATTTAGATCCACTTTTGCTCTCTGTGGATTGAGAAGGAGAGGCCTTGTACTCTGGTACCAGAGTACATGAAAGGGTTCAGACACCACTCATTTAGAAGATAACACCATCTGTAGCCACTCTTTACTTTTATTACCTTAATAACTGATTCTACCAATACATTTCTGTGACTGTAATTTCTCCAGCCACATGTCAGAGCAGAATTTGAAACAGCAACGACAAATAAGCCACCTTAAATGTCAAAAAATAAACTTCTAAGGCACTAGGCACTACTAAGCCTACAAAGTGAATCTGACATGATTTAAAGGAGCAATGAAATACTTCCTTTGCAACAGATCTCTACTCAGTTTCTTTGGAAAATATATGCTAGTGAAAGAGTATTTCACTACGGAGAAATAAAGATTTTATGTTAATATTAGATACAGTTGGCTGCTCCTAGGAACCTCTCAGAACCTCCAAGCACATCAAATTTATACATTTGTATAATGGCCTTCATTGCAGCTCCAGGTTTTTAAACCGGAGATAGTGACTCCCCACAGATGGGCAAGAATAATAACAAGGCAATGGGAGCTGTGAGGCTCCTGCAGAGGCAACAATCAGACTTGGAAAGCAACTCGTGTAAAAGCAGAAACAAGTCTGCTGGCACTACTGGGGAGAGCCACAGTGAGCAAACCTTCACAGGCAAAGCTGTCGATAACTGCTTGTCACCAGCAGCCCCTACACACCTTTTACCTTATTTTAGACCTCTTTGCCTTTCTGTAATACACCAACAAAAATAGCATCCTTAACCATGAAAGGAGCTCTTCAGTGGGGCCACTGTGTAACTAATAAGGCAGGAATAGCATTATCCTTCAGGATTTAATGTTTTAACCAAAACTAACAGCAGCTGTCCCTCTAAAATATCTTAAGTTTATCTGCCTGATGTTCTGCATCTTACATTCTACGAATACCCACTAATGTTTTAGAAGTACTATAGGTTGTTCTTGGACTACTTCAGCTATATTCCACAGCAATTCATTAAAGCTCAACACTTTTACCTTCAGGGACACATTTATAGCACAAGCTCATTTTGGTCTCCCAAGTACTTGTCATCATTTTGGGATATTGCAGGTTTGCTAAAAGCTAAGGTCCTGCTGACAGTTCTGAAGGGTTTTTCTCTTTCAGAATGAGGATGCTGAAACAGAACTGACATTCCAATTTTCACCAAAATGCCTCCTCCTTTTGAAAAGCACATTCAAACTAATAGTGCCTCACTGGTAACCACTCCGTGGTTCCCTTTTGCTGTTAGAGAAGCATATAAATCTAAAGTCTGGTATGATTAATTACCGAAGATGTTATTATGCCCTATATCTTGCAAACAAATATAAATGATTACCAAAATGAAATTAGAGAAGTCCCTCTTGGTGATTCCCAAGGGATTTCTTAGTAACAGTAAATACCATATTTTACCACAAACACTATACAGTCATCATCTGAGATCAGGCCTTAGCTCCTGAGAATCATCCCCACAACTAGAGAGATACAAGGCCTGATACAGTTGAGCTCAGCAGAAATCAGCTTTTCCTTTTAATGGGAGAAGGAACAGGCATTACACACCATTATTCCGTAAAAAAAGGCTTTATTTCACTGTAAAGTATGTTCTTACTGTCAAAAAGGACTGCCATTCAATGCTGTCATTTGTCATACAATAACAAAATCAGAGCAAACGAAGACAAGAAACGGCTGGCAATATCGCAGGTGTAGTATCTCAGGTAATACAGGTTAAGGGCCTGAAACACACCTTTTCCCAGAGCATGAAATGCCCTCTTTAATGTGGCTTCAACTGAAAGAGATCTACAAAGGGAAAGAAAGTCAGAAGATGCAGGATGCAATCTTTGTCATTCCTGCCTCTGGACAGTGGAAATAGCTTATGTCAAGGAGACAACAAGCATCTGGGGTGCTCCTATTCCATGCAATAGATCCATTAAGAAACTGACAGAACGTGTTTGCATCTTCTTCATGGTACTTCCTTCTCTTTATGGGCTTATACCTGTGCACAGTTACTCTGAGTGTTGATCTTCTTCTAGATCACTCAAACGCTACCATGGCTACGCAGACTGTATGCAAAAAAAATAAATACCATGCTTGTTTCCATTTCAGGGAGTACTCCAGAGCACAAATATACTCTGCAGTCAGAACAAAGACCCAACTTTAAAAGAGATCTACTATATTCAGTCAGGTGCAATGTTATTCAAAAAAGCACCATATGCTACAGCCTCACGATGCCCTTTAGAAATAGCAGGAACTTTTAAACTGAGACTGCTGATCTAGAGCGGAGACTGTCTGTGCTCCTTTCATAGAAAATTCTTTGATATGGAGTGTAACTACAAAGCACAGATACTAGAGTGGAACAACTGAAGCAGCAGAGCTTTTAAGGCAGCAAAATTCAGTTATTGTTTGTCACAAAAAACACTGGAAGATTATGACTTGTCTCAAGCCAAAGATGAGGCAAGAGGGGGAACATAGAGAAAAGTCCTGAGAAGAGCTCATCACTGAGACCCTACTAGAAACTGAATTGGCCATTATTTTCACTCAACTAAGAAATTTTACATCTTTTCCAGAAAAGCAAAAATGTTACCTTTAAATAAAAATATTTTAGGCAACTGCCTTACTTAAGATGCAGTAAGAACTGAGAAAATGCAATTACTTGATGACAGGACTAAGATAAATAAGATCGGATTGATGTGCAGTTTCTATTTCAATATTTTTCTACCTACTTAGGAAATAAAATGCAAAATTGGGGGAAATATAGATGTTTAACATCAGTGGTGGACATAGGACAGAATGCTGTTTATATGTAATAAGAGATACAAAAGAATACATAATTGCAACCAGTTATGAAAGCTTTATTATATAAATTAACTCTTTATCGCTAGCTGAAATAGATCCTTTTGCTGAGTGATCGTAAGTCATACAGCCAGAATCAGGGTCCCAGTTTTATCTGTGTTCCATGAATGCACACGTTTGTAAGAACCCGTGCTTATTTTATATGGGGGTCCTGTTAACTCAAGATCTAGTTCAAAGAACTAGAACCAGCAGCACACTGGGCTTTGAGGGACAGAGCCATAGTGACAGCAAACATGGTCAAGAAAAGAAACTTAACAAGGTAAATCAATTTCTTTTACTTTCTCAAAGCGTATCAGTCACGCTTTCCAGTTCCATCAGAATACACACATGGCGTAAGTGATTTTTCAGGAACTATTTGAAGGAAATGACAGTGGTGGCTTAAGAAACTAAATCAAGAGGTAATTCTCATGCTTGGGAAGCAGCAAGGAAAAATTGCCCTTTCAAATCTCAAGAGGGTGGGGAATGCTGCTGTCGCTGGCAGACCAGAAGGGATTAGGGACAACAGACTCAGTGAACCAGTGACTTCTTGCTCTGAAAATAAAGAAAATATTACCTCAAATCCTTTCACGCTGTCTCCAAGAGCTTCTACAATTCCAGAACATTCAAACCCAGGAATAAGTGGCGTCTTCGGAGGATTGTCGATATTCCCCTGTCTCACCATCAAATCAATAAAGTTCAAACCACTGTAAAATATAGTAACAAATAAAATCAGGACTATTACTATAGATGAAGGCAGAGGAGGAAAACTTGACCTGAGTGATGGGAAAGCTAGAAGACTTAAGGCCACCACTAAAAAGCTGGGCTCCACAGCGTTAAGAGGGACACAGCAGGCATTCACATTCTTCATGTGTGGAACAGACTGACTTTACACTGTGCTGTACAGGCCTTGGAAAGAAAAACACACATGCATTAGCCCCTAAGTTTACAAGACTGTTTAGGAGTCATCTGAAGAGATTCACAAAGGGCATTTCAAAAGTCAGTACAGTGAAACATTATCATTTCTATGAATGCATCACTAGCTGTCAAGTAAACCCAGTTCAATTTAAGAAAAACCCGAACATCAGGCATTACAGATGTTTTTGGCCAAAAGTAACCTGATGTAACTGTTCTAACCTGTGATGCGAGTCCAGGAGTGAATCTTGTGTTCATTACAGGCAGGAGTCCATACTTTGACATGAACTTATTAAGTATCAGATAGGCTGTTGTTTTAAATCTGATCCTCCTGGATCTCTTTTGCACAGTTTTGCAAAGGTTGTTCAGGTCTTTGCAGCCCTTAGAGCTGCTGTTCAGAAAAAACACAGGCCTTTCCCTGTAGCCTTCATCTTGTAAAAATCTTGAAGCATCTTTACTTTGTCTTATATATACTACTCGATTTTATTAAGCAAAATTTTGTTGTTTTCTAGGCAGCCACAAAAAACACAACCAAAAAAGGTTCCCTTGTCTACTCTCTATATACACACATATATATGTACTAATTACTGGCACGAATGCCATACGTAGCTGTAACTCCTCTAACTCCTAACTAGCTAATGCTTCAGCATGAATCCATTGTTCCAAAACACAGCACGGTATTTACTGTTAGCCAAAATTGCTGCATACTAACTCCCTCAACTCTCCGAAGCAATGCACACAGCCAGTCCTACTCACGCATATGATACCGGCAACTGCTTAGATGCATAAAATTACTGATGTGCACAGAGCTTTAGTCAGATACTAATGAAGCAAACAGATTGAACAGACCCAACAAACAAAAAGACAGAGTAGACAGACAACGTAAGCCCAGAGACAAGACAGCATTCATAACATGTAGGTCACTGGCGGTGGGGGGGAGGAAATTCCACCAAATGTAAATATTTGTAATTGTGGTGGAGGGTTTAAGAGCAACCCGAGCTCACAACTCTAAGCTCTGTAAAAGCAAGATTATAGATTATGTTTAAACAAGATGATTTTCACAGTCTAGCTTGACAAACTCAGGAGAAAAATTAAAAATAAAACAAGCAAACAAAAAAACCCCAACACGCCCATACACAAAGCTCATAACACTAACCACATGGGAGGTTAGGAGGTCTTCAGCATTATTCAGTTGGGAACTTTGGAATGATTTTAGGAAGGTCACTTCCTATCCAGTGGCTAAGACCACCTCCTACATCCCCACCGTAATGTTCATAATGAAAAAGAAATTCCAAATAACAAAATGCCTGCTAGGCAGTCATCATTTGGGAAAAAAAACAAAACCAAAACACAGCACAAAACCAAAAACCCCACACCATACATGATGCATCCACTGTCTGTTCAGTGATGATCTTCTGAATACATCTTTTCACACTGTGCACATTTTACAAAGTTAACTTTTTCTACATTCCTGCAAGCAAGGGCAGCCAAAGGCAGAACTGTGATGTGGAAACCTGTGTAGGAACACACACCATGATGTTGTGAAAAGGAGACAACAAGGAGACAGATGGATATGGCAAAGACTATAGCCATTTGATAATGACATTTGATTACAAACACATTACTGCTGCTCTTTCTAGAAATACTCATTCTTGCAAAATAACTTGCCAGACAATTTTTGAAAGGGCACATACTCAGTTTTGCACCTAACGACATAATACTAGCAATTCAGTTCTGTTCCAGTTTCATTTCTTTTTCATCTGTCTTTATCCTCAATAAAAGGCAGCAATGTTAAATAAAATAGAGAGCTCATCTCTATTAGAATGAACTTACAAGACTAGGTGCTAGAACAGGTGTGATAAGGAAAGAAAAGACACTGCACAAGGTATGTACCTAATCACATCTTTTTATCATTTTAATTACCAGCTGGAACACAGAGTGTTGATCAGCATTTCTAATAATTTCTAGTCATTTTCCAGGAAGTTTCTTCCTCATTCGCTTCATCTTTCATCTTATATATGTTTACATGTTGTCATATACCTATTTCTCTCATACATGCATTTATTTCTATTTTTCTCCCCTTTCAAATAAGGACAGAAATAAGCTGCTTTATTTTACCTGCCAAACTTGAACAAGCCTTATGAACACCAATAGACCTGAAAGCACAATTACATTGCATGGTAAAACCAATATTTTAACTTTTTTCCTTTTGAATAATCTGGAGGTTATTCAAAGACAGATAGCTACCTTAGTAATTACCTCCAAGACACCTAACCTGATCCAGTCCCCCATTGCAATTTAACCTGCAGCTGACACACGAACAGGGAAGCTTAGATGGACAGGATATCACAAGAAAATACATCTCATGAAGAGTGGTGGTTTTAGAGAATAAGCACAACTTATTTCTTGTATCAGTACAAAGCCTGTTCTGGCGTATAGCCAGAGAAAGTGGCTGAACTTTAAGGAAGAGCATACGCAGAAGGAGGAGTGTAAATGCAAAGAGACCCAGTGACAAAAAGTGCACAATTTCTTGCAGTCATGTTTTTAATCCTAAATTAAGAGCTAAATGCAAACGAAGATAGGGAAGGATATGAATTACCAAGATCAATACACTGATATAGGGGTTCTGCAAAAACCTCTCTGTGAAACAGCACGAATATTAGTGTGAACTGCACAGACTGAATTGTCTGCACATCTCTGGAGGTAGAGTTTATCAAACACGGAAATATCTTTAAATCTGACTCTCACAGTCTGCAGTGCTTCACCCTAACACCAGTTTTTAGGATCCTGAATATCATTTTCTATATTTGTAGTTTAGCTTTGCTGCATTTTATTTTCTTTAAGTGTGGAAAGTTCTACAGATAGAAAGCTGTATTCTAGGCTTGTTTCACCATCAGACCAGCAACAGTCAGCTTGGTCCTCCTTGCTCTGTCCCATACACTCAAGGATGCTCAATATCTTCCATTGCAAAATACCAAATCAGGCAGACCATTCTTCACACTTTGCTTTGGAAAGGTGCTGCTTTTGATCAGTCTCTCCTATTCCACCGTAAGAGTCCACTGAAATTAGTTCCTGAAGTTAATGAAATACAACAGAGCAAGTAAGAGGACCACTGAGTTTTACATTCTTAAAATCCTTCCTCTTACCCCTGGTCAGCAAATTGCTCACCAATCTTTTTATAAATAAATAAATACATAGACAGACAGATGGATAGATAAATAGACAGACAGATAAATGGAAAGGTTTAAAATTATCAGATCTCATGCTTTTTATCCAGAAGCACCCACAGTATATGAACAAGATTGCTTTTAAGAACACAAGTGATACACTATCTGTCCGCTACTCTACTATACTTACAATTTCTTTTATTCACTACCAGGTTTTCTAAGTGCTGTATTTCACAGTTAGCAGGGTCACTTCTGCCTCATTCCTCATGACGCACACATACAGCATCACAAGTAAGAAATTATTAGAACAGAGAAAAGACAAATAAAGGGACGTAATTACAGGACACCATTACTTATTCACACCCCCCTACCTGAATTACTGCTTTGGTTTGTTCTAGCTACTTGTTTAGTATTTTAAACTATGCATACTAGTGTTCTGCAGATTGCAAATTACCATACAAATACAGCAATTTGACTACTCCATCATTATCAATCAAAAATTATATCAGGAGATATGCAGAAGCTGTGACTCAGCTTGGACATCGATGGCTGTTCCATTTCTTAGTCACTGAATGAGGCTAACACATGACTCATCTCAGCTGACACATTTTCAGTTGGATCATTGATATTCCAGACCTTCAAAAGAATTATTCATTGCATGTCTTAATGCTAATAGCAACACAGCCTCCATCTCCTCCATCTACAGTACCATACTACAAAATGTATACACATGATTCAACTGGTTTCGCCCCCTAGTGAATACAGAGACCACACAGAACTTGCACTTTACTCATTCATACGTACTATTTATCATGGATGAACATATTTTACTTAGGATTATTCTTCTCCACAAGTTGACGGACAAAAATAATCATCTATACGATGGTCAACTGCACAACTGATTGAACTAAAACATTATTTGTCATCAATATGGCTTACCAGAGCCCATTCCTGCGTGTTCAGCATGTGCATAAACGTGAACTACACATGTAATGCATACTACACTGGGCAGAGACAACAACTGTTTTTCTCACTAAGTCTCCCAGACCAGACTGCAAGTCCATCATCATCCCCATCAATCTTCTGTACTTACAGACTCAGACCAAGAAGATCAGCAAATTGATTTTGCCTTGTTCAGAAGCACGCTTTTGTGACCTGATCACATTTCAGTCCTATGGCCATTTCCAGCCGGGAGCGCCATGCAGATAGAACGGCAAACAGATGCTATACAGCCTACGGGCTCTTCTGGCATGAAGGGGAGCTTCCAAAACACACATGGCATCATGCAACCTGGCAGTAACTATGAAGCAGTTGATGCCAGGTCTGCTGGCATCAGACAGCAAGTGTGCAACTCACACAGCTCACTAATGATAATGCAACCTGGGAAAGCAACTGTATTTGCACCAGAGCTAACTATTTCTACCTTACAGCCAAGGGTTCTTTTGCAGGTAACTTGCTACTTGTGATACAAACGTATCTACTGCTTTGATGAAACTCGAATTCATACTGGTACTGGAGAGTGCTGTAAAACCCCCAAGCATTTAAAGGAATATGTCCATATGCTCAGAACATTTTAATTTTTCATGTTAACTTTAATTCAATAGCTGAGGGAAAAAAAAAAAACC